GCAGCACGCTACCAACAACAAGCACCAAGCAAACTGGCTTCCACTGCACAGCAATGCTCCCTTTGGGCATGCTCAGACGACCCAACACTTGAATCGGCGTGGCTCAAAGGCGTCAGCACTCAAGCCCTCGAATGCAAACCGACGGCAACTAACTCGAACATGGAAAAACATGGAATACCTTGCCTTGCCATTGGCGTGGCCATTGAGCCCAGCGTCGTTCTGGTGTGGCAGGCAAGAGATGGATGAAAGGCTGCAGCACGCTACCAACAACAAGCACCGAGCAAACTGGCTTCCACTGAACAGCAATGCTCCCTTTGGACATGCTCAGACGACCCAACCACTGTTATGAGCGTGGCTCAGAGGCTTCAGCATGCAAGCCCTCGAATGCAAACTGACGGCAACTAACTCGAACATGGTCAAACATGGAATACCTTGCCTTGCCATTGGCGTGGCCATTGAGCCCAGCGTCGTTCTGGTGTGGCAGGCAAGAGCTGGATGAAAGGCTGCAGCATGCTACCAAGCACCAAGCAAACTGGCTTCCACTGCACGGCAATGCTCCCTTTGGGCATGCTCAGACGACCCAACACTTTAATCGGCGTGGCTCCAAAGGCGTCAGCACGCAAGCCCTCGAATGCAAACTGACGGCAACTAACTTGAACATGGCAAAACATGGAATACCTTGCCTTGCCATTGGAGTGGCCATTGAGCCCAGCGTCGTTCTGTTGTAAAACGCTGTTCTTCAAACTGATCGCCGGTCAACTTCACAAGCATCAAGAAGACTATAAACCATATTTAAACAAACAAGCTTCCAAATGGAGTAACACAGTGTGAAACCCCCAGAGCGGCGTGCCTGCAGCGTTTTGGCTTTCCATGGGTCGCCTTCTGCTTCGAGAGGGTCTCTCCCTCTGGCCTCCCAAAATCTGGACAGAGGCCCGAACCTAAACGACAGCTTTCACAGCCGGAATGCTTGAGAAGCTGTGCGTCAAGGGGAAACCTCCAAACTTTCATGCATAGACAGGAACGGCTTAGTGGCTGAGTCTGAGCCCCCCTCACCCATGATTCTCTGCGGCCCGCCCAGCAATCATAACAAAACTGAAACAATCGAAGGGATCGAGCTTGTTGGCGGAGAAACCCTCGTGACAGTTCTTCTCGGAGGCCGAGATTGTCGCCGCAATGTTTAAGGTACAAATGCTGACACCCGCAGGGATTGGACCTAGTGCCCATCTTGCTTTCGACATGCAGGGCAACCTCGCAGCCCCGACTTGGCAGCTGAGTGTCGTTGTTCTGGGGTCAGGGTTGCGGGCCAAACCACACGAGTGTGTGGGGGCTGCCGAGTGTTGGTTGTCATGATCCGCATCTTGTTCTGAGAACCGCAGCGGGGTCGGGGGGAGCGACAAGAGTCATGAGGTTCCGGAACCTCATTTCGGCACTGCAAGCTCGAAGGCCAACGATGGTGATCGGCACAATGATTCTGCTGCCATCCCTTCCGAACCATGTCATAGGCGTTCGCCCTCCGGGACCAGCGGGTCGAGCAACATCACAAGGAAACATGTAAAGTATGCACAGCATGAAAGCTTCTTTATCGAGCCAGGATGCTACGGAAGAGTCGGTCACAAAAACTTGGCCTTGGCATCCGCATGGCTGCTGCAACCATTTGTGTAGCTGCTGCCCTGTCAACGGGGGTATGGTACGAGCAGCTTTCGTGTGAAACATGATTGTTCCGCTGCCACCGCTTTACTATGGCTTGTAGGGCCAGGTGTACTTCGGGGCAGCACGGGAAAGTACAGCGCTTGTGGATGACACGATGTCACATGATCAGCATGAATGAAAGCAACAAGCAAAGGACGAATATCAAATGATGGCAAGAGTCTGTCAAACGGGCTATGGTTGAGGAGCTTTGGAGAATGTCTTGCTAGGCCTGTTGCATTCTCACAGCGGTATCGAAACTGCTTAGAAGGATATACTGAATCCCATATCCGGGGCACAAAAACAGGAACACAACGCCTCCGACCTCCAACCACAACTGCCAAAAGTTTAGGTCGAGACCACAACCAGCGAAAAACCAATCATCTCTTTCCCTTGGCAACCTCCGGCAGCCTGCGCTCCACGATCCAATAAATGTGGGTTTTACTTGCCTTCCGAAGGCTCCAAAAGGCATCAAGCTCAGCTGCGCCTGATGGAGCTGATTCTGGATCACCTGCGGGGCACAGGCGAATGCACATGGTTGCATGTGCGAGCATACACATACATATTATCTATTGTGTAAGTATGGACTAATGTACACAGTTTTCATATGTAGGACAGACACAAAGCTAGATAGATAGACAGATAGACAGAGAGATAGACAGACAGATAGACAAGACAGATAGATAGATGGGTAGACAGAAAGATAGGTAGGTAGCTAGATAGCTAGATAGATAAATAGAAAGGTAGATAGACAGATAGATAGATAGATGGGTAACGAAAGAGAGAGAAGCCCTTCGAAAGAGAGAGAAGCCCTTCGGGAGAGGCAAGTGAGAATGCAAAGGGTCTGAAGCAGCGGGAACAATGTGTGAAGTCGGTGGTGGGCCGACGACGACGTGCTCATCATCTCGGTTCTGAGAATGTAAGTGTTTTCGGACGGCAAGGCACATTGTATAGCCTGGCAATGGAAAACATCTTGAATTAGCTGCGCTGTCATTGCTACAAACACGATGAGGCTCAAAGTGGAAATCTAGAAACATTGCGTCAAGCTACTTTGTTCGAATTCGGGTGCCGAAGCATTCGCCGGTGCTACTGTTATCTTCTTGTAGATGCACAAAACCCTTACGACTTGAGCAGAGGTCCAATGCTAGATGCAACAAGAAGCAAGCCTCGTGCGACATCATTACAAATATGAATTGCGGTACAGGTAGTAAGTAGTAGCAAGAAGGTCGCTAACAGTCCCCCGCCCTTCGCGTAGGCCTTCTGCCAGGGCCCCTGCGCTAGCTTTGGATTTTGCTCCTTGCCCAAGAGCTTAGACTAGATCATGGCACAGAGAAGCTTCTTCGCAAGAGTGAGAGACAGAGCGAGAGAGAGGGAGAGAGAGAGAGAGAGAGTGAAAGAGATTCCAGCAAGGCCGGTGCAAATGTGATGTAAACTTCACTTCCAGCTGGGTTCGAAAGCAGAGAAGAGGCTTCAATCTCAAGGATTCGGGGAGTATGGTTCACACCCTGGTCACCTCAACTGGCTGCGAGTCTTTGAGATTCTACAGAGGTAGCACGAAGACCTGCAAGGATATGAGCAGCATGTGCCTTGCCTTGATGTTTTGTGCATGCAGCTCTGCTTATCGTGAAGACTGCCAAATGCAACGGAGTAGTCATCAGAGTTCTGTGATGGCAAAGCACATCCGACTGCGACCTGAACCACCTACAGGTGGTGATTCACTGAACCCTAAACCTCCCGCCAGCGCCTTCGCCCAGGGATCTGCTTTGGCAAGCGGATCCTCATTCCTAGAAGCCTGGTCAAGGAACAGAGTCCAAGCAAGGCACAGCCGTCCATCAAGCAGTCCCTCTTGAGAGCCAGGCAATTTCAATACTGTGTAACAACTTCTGCGGACACGGCTTCGCAACATCGGTGCCTTCCTACTCGTCTCAAACCTGCCGCAGCCCCCGCTGTGATGTATACACAGAAGATCAAAGCATGCAGACATCAACGACGGGACGTTGCCTGTGACAAAACCCCCGCATTGCACTTCGATCTCAATGTTTCACGTCAGCGACACCGTTGCACCGTTGTACAAACCTGCACCATTACATTCAGATGTGCTGTTCGCCTGATACTCCCTGTTGTCACAGGGGCCAAAAACCCACCTGTAAACAGATGCATGCTAGTTTTGATGTAGAGCGGAGCCCATAAGGGGGATTTCAGAAAACCCTAACAATTGTGAAATCCTCATTTTTATGTGGTGCCTTGGCTTTCGAGGCTAGCTGCTGTCCCTGTCTTGGTCTGTGGACAATTATGCCGCGCTTGTGGTAAACAACTGCTAAATGCCGCTACATAGCTTGAAACGCTACGGGGATTTTGAATATAGGGAAGCAAATCCGCGAAATGCGCGCAATCACCTTCTGAAGCTCCACGATCAAAGGTCACAATTGCACCATAAACCTTCCCGAAGCACCTTGGTGGCCCAGGGATCTGCTTTGGCAAGCGGGTCTTCATTTCCCCAGGCCTGGCCCGAATAAGGCGAATAAGGCATGGGCTTGAGGCCTGCTTGCCAGTGTTTTCCGCACCCATTCCGGCGATGTACATACACGAGGTCAAGGCATGAACGCCACGGCAATGTGCAAAAGAGGATCCCGCATTGCATCAAATGCGTGTTGTCAGCGTGTCAATGACGCTGATGCGGAAATTTGCGCCACCCACAAAGTCTCTGCGCATGATATTCCATGTCCTTGCCCGCTTCTGGGTTTCGATTCTTCGGTGGTAAGGAATGCTAAGTACCAGTGCGTGGTGTTCACCAGGTCGTGACCTGGTCACTATAAGGCGTGGGAAAGCACGTCCTGCACCACCTTCTTCAAACTCAATTCTCGTACCTTTTTGCAACAGGCTTCCCACTTCGCCCGGAGTTATCGAAGACCTGCCGGAAGCACCTTCGCCCAGGGATCCGCTTTGGCAAGCGGATCCTCATTTCTGGAGGCCTGGTGTCAGAGTGGAGAACGACTCCAGGAACAGGGCTCAAGTAATTGAATTGTGGACGGCACGCGTAGCCGCAGCCAGTGAGTGTCGATGCCAGGCAGAACGCCATTCAACACTACTTCGATTCCCGATGCTGTGATGTGTACACAAGAGACCAAAAGCATGAAGACCCACAATGATGCCAGAGAATCAAAGGTGGCACGATTGCCTGCGAAACACAGAGCCCCTGCTTTGCACTTCCGAGTGTGTCGTCAGTGACACAGCTGCACAGACGTTCATACCACATTCAAATATTCTGTGCGCATACTAATCCATGCAGTCTGGGGCCAGCAACAACTGAAAAACAACAGACAACAAACAACAACCAACAACCACAGCAAGCACAACAACAACAGTGACAACGGAGGCAAAAGCAGCAACAACAGTAATATCAGTAGCAACAACAACAACAACAGTGGCTATGGTGTACAGGGTTTGAAGGAAGGAGTTGCAGTGCAGCCCAGGGATTTGAGATTTTTGGGCTTAGGTGTGGGCTTCAGCGCCTAAAGCCCACGCTTTCCAAGCATTGAGATCTTTCTAAATGCATTCCATACCACAAACCTTGAAAACTCCCATTCAAACCCATCAAAAACAGTGCATAAAACCCTTCAAAATCCTTCATGAACCATTCGATATCCAATGAAAACCCTTTGCAAATTCCAGACAAAACCTTTCAAAACCTCACTAAAACCCCATTACAACCCTTAAACCCCGTCAAACCCTGCAAAATCCCATGACAACATTACCGGTAAATGCTAAACCCCTTCCTAAACCCATCAAAACCCTTCTACATTTCGCAGATTGCCATACTCGGGGTGGAAACGTGGTGTCATGTGGGCGGTTGTTGTAAAGGGGGGGGGTCAACACAACAGACGGGGCGCCAGTTTTTGTCTCTAGCAGCAGGTAGAGACACAGGCCCCGTGAAATCAGGACTTTGTCTCTAACTGCTGCTAGAGACAAAAACTGGAGCCCCGTCTGTTGTTTTGACCCCCCTATTACAACAACCACCCAGCATACGCCGCATTTCTATCATGGGGGCAGATGCTGTGTAAGCCGTGGCTTGCATTCCCCAAAACTCTGCCTACAGGTCCCTCTGCGGTCGCCGGAAGAATTCCCGAATGTTTCTAGTTATGCCAACAACAACAACAACAACCACAACCACACCACAACGACAACCACAACCATAACCACAACAACAAACACTGATGCAGGCTTCGAGTTGTGTAGAAGGGGGCCATAAAGGGGGATTCCGGTAAACTCTACTTGTGAAATCCTCATGTTTATGATTGTTTGTGTCGGGTGCCGCTGTCTGTGGACACTTATGCCGCGCTTGTGTCAACCCTAAACCTCCCCCCAAGCACCTTGGCGGCCCAGGGGTCTGCTTTGGCAAGCGGGTCCTCATTTCCCGAGGCCTGGCCCAAGGAAATGTGTCTAAATAGGCAGCGCTTCGTTCCGTCCTGCTTTCCAGTGTTTTCCGCACCCCTTGCGGCGATGTACATACAGGTAGTCAAACCGGTCAAAGCATGAACACCGCTGCAATATGCGAAACAGGCTTCCGCATTCCACAAACATGCCTGTTGTCAGAGTGTCAGTAACCACATTGGGCCACAAATCCTCTGCGCATAATCCTCCATGTTCGCGCATGCTTCTTGGTTTCGAATCTTCCGTGCATGTGGTGAAGAATGCTAAGTACCACTGTAGGGCATTCACTAGGTCAAATGAAGGATTCTGAATCGCAAAGCAAGTCCGCACCTTCGCCCAAGGATCTGCTTTGGCAAGCGGATCCTGATTTCGAGAGGCCTGATCAAGCAACAGGCTTCATGCAGCCCCTCCTGAAATGCGGCCGGCAAGCGTATCCAGTGAGTGTCGATGACACACAATTTTCCATTCAATGCTACGGAAGAACTTGTCCAGATATGGGTTGCCAACCCCTGCGCGTTCCCATTCTGCTGAACCCTGCCGCACTCGATGCTGTGATGTGCACACGAGAGACCAAAGCATGAAGACCCACTATCATGCCTGAGAATCAAAGGTGGCACCAGTGCGCACGACAAGCAAAATCCCGACGTCGCACTTCCGAGTGTGTCGTGAGTCGTCAGTGACACAGCGCCACGAACTTACACCATGACGTTCATATGTGCTGTGCACATAATACTCCACGCTGTCTGGGGCCAAGGAAAGCAACAACAACAACAACAACCGGGATGCTGGTTTTGAGGTATGTGGAAGGGCGCATACGGGGGATTCCAGAAAACTCTGGTTGTGAGATTCAGCTGGTTATGTGGTGCTTGGGGACCCCAGCTGCCGTCTGTGTCGTGGTCTGTGGACAATTATGCCGCGCTTGTGGACAAAGACGGCTCAAAAAACTACGTAGCTTGAGTCACTCTGGGAATCTTGAATAGCGAAGCAAGTCCACGTACATATGACTCGAACTCACCTTCTGAACTCAATGATCAAAGGTTGCAACTGCACCCTAAACCTCCCCCCAAGCACCTTGGCGGCCCAGGGGTCTGCTTTGGCAAGCGGGTCCTCCTGGCCCAAGGAAATGTGTCCAAAGAAGGCAAAGGCTCGAGGCAGTGCCCCGTTCCGTCCTGCTTTTTCTGCAACCCTTGCTGCGATGTTCACACAGGAGGTCAAATCATGACCACCATTGCAATTTGCGAAAGGAGGTTCCCGAAATGCACGTCAAAGCATGTTGTCAGTGTGTTCGTGACTCTGATGCTGATGCGGAAACTTACACCGCCCACATGTTCTTCTTCCTTCGGGTCAAAGGGGCGAGTCAAGCCCTCCGGCCCTTGCGGGACCCCCAGTTTGCAGGTCACATGTTCTCTCTGTGTCTCTCTCCGACATTGAGTGCCACTGCATCCAGAGGGTCTAGCCTAGAAGCGCACATGTTCTTTGCTCACGCATCTTCCATGTTCTGGCCCGCTTCTTGGTATCAGGAGCATTTGCTTTTTCCGTGCTTGTCTTCTGGTAAACCATGCCGAAAAACCGCGGCCTGGCATTCACCAGGTCACTATCGGGATCTGGAATGGCCAAGCAAGTCCGACTGCAACCTGCGTCACCTTCCTCGTACCTGAATCCAAGACCTCCCGGAAGCACCTTCGCCCACGGATCCGCTTTGGCAAACCGATCCTCCTTTCTGGAGGCCTGGTTTAGAGTGGAGAACGACACCAGGAATACTGTAGGGCTGTTGACTTGCGGCCGTCACATGCAACCAGTGAGTGACGATACAATGCAACTCGCGAGAACTACTTATGTGCGATTTGTTCCAGAAATGGGCTGCTTACAATGAAGCTCTCTACTATCATTCCAGGGGCTTCTATGATGGCCACGTGTTGTAGACAAGCAACATTAATACATGGGCAGAACCAACATGTTGGCACGCGGATCTTCGCAATGTCAGATGGCTCGACTCGTGCTAGGGACCATCCACTGTGCCGCCGTTTGAGCTACAGGTTGTTGACGCTTATTGAACCAAAGGCGAACCAGCATAATCAAACGTCATCATCGTCACCACCACCTTCATCATGATGATGACTGCCATCACCCTGGCCGCGTGTATGTGCTGACACATGCTGCCGCTAGCGGTACCACAGCCGAACTTCGAGTTGAGCCTCATGTGTGCCTCCATGCAAACAAGCTCGCAAAACAGCGCAAGGCATGACATGAGTGCTTCGTGCTACAACACGAGGCTTTGCCTCTCACAGATGTACGAAGCCCATTGGCCTCCCACTCCCAGGGTGGTGGTTCCCACTCTTCGGCCTGCCCGGCAGCAAGAAACATCAGAAGTAGTACCGCTTGAAAGGTTCCGAAGTGGGTTCCGAAGCGGGTTCCAGGTTCGTTCCTCTTTGGGGGCAGTTCCGGGGTCGGGGCAAGGCTACAAGCGAGTTCCAGGTTGGTTCCGGGAAAATTGTTCTAGGGCAGGTTTGTTTCTTTTCATTGCGTCCAAGCTCCACATGTTTTCGTGAGCCTGGCAAATCGCACGCAAGTGACACGAACATGGTATTTGGTTTCCAGGGCAGAAAGAAGCATTTTTCAAGGCTTGGAAAACGCATTTAGAGCTGTTTCGATTAGTTTGGCTTCTAGGGCCCCAAAATGCATGTTTTCAACGCTTGGAAAACGCATTCCTGCTACCAGTCTCCGAACCCAAATCTCCGACCAAGCCCCATTGCTGTCCCTAAACCCGAAAATCGTACTGAAAATGCTTGAAGTCGGTTTGTAGGGCTCCAAAATAGAAAATTCAAGGCTTGGAAAACGCATTTAGATCTGTTTCAGCTTTGCTGATGCCCCTGGCACCACCAACCCTCGAAGCCATCGACCAAGCCCAAATGCATTTTCCAAGGCTTGCTAAACGCGTTTGGCCCTGGTTTCAACGAATCTGGAGCTCAATGAAGGTCCTACCCCGAAAATGCAGCCAGCCAGAAACTGCTCGAATCATCCCCAGGAGCTCCCAACAAGCTCAAATGCATTTTCCAAGGCCTGCTAAACTCTGCTAAACACATTCGGGCCTAGTTTCGGCAAAACTGCCATTCAATGCCGTCCCCACACCCGAACATGCTTTAAGTTGTGTTGATTCAGAAGCAAGCCCTACGCTGCTCACATTGAGCTCTCGGAGCTTTGCGCTAACCCAAATGCATTGTCCGAGGCTTGTTCAACGCATTTCGGCTCTGGTTTCGGCAAATCTTGAGTTCAGTGCCCGGCCCGGCATGGACAACCCATCTACAGCTCTGTCAGCTTTTCTGGTGCCCTATAGTGTGGGCCCAACGACAGCCACTCCGCTGTTCGGGATGTTCAATGGCAATATTTTATCGCACCCCTGCACCTGCAAATTTGGTGCAGGCCTGGCCAGCAGGGCTCAACAGCGTAACATGACGCAATGAGAAGCGTTTTCCAGCGGGCCTGCCAAAACTCAAGGGACTCAGAAAACAACTCCCTGCGTTCGAGCGCCTGTGCCCCCTTGTAGAAAGTGGCCACAGGTGCATCCGACCCTGCTGAGTCGGAACCAGATGCAGACTTAGCCTTGCATCGTGTGGAGTGGTGGGCCGCGGGCCGTGGGAAGGCAGCTGAAGGCCAACGAAGTGATAGCGAAGCTCAAGGGGGCTCCCCGCTTGTGAGAGGCTGTTGTGCTGCCGCGCACCAAGCGGCACTGCATTCATGGCATTGCAGCGCCGCAGAATTCATCCGGGCTTGTTCCGAGTCCGAATCGTGCATCAAGGCAGGCACCACGTGCGCGTGTAAGGCTGTTGATGTGTTGCTGAGCCTCCGCATCAGATGCTCACCTCACCGTCTTGGAATTTGCAGAAAAGCTGCCAAGAGAATAGCACACTGAAAGTTCCAACTTCGGTCCTTTTGGTAGACATCCTGAAAGTATCACGACTCTGGGGCATAAAGCTAAAGGCCAGTCTCGGCCTTCTCTTTCCACTCGGCTTCAAGCTTTGCCTCCTCCTCCGGCTCCCGGAGCCCCTGTCCAAGTCAGGTGGTCGCAGAAAAAATCGCCCAGAGCCCCGAACTGCGAAGCCAATAAAACGCTCCTGACACTCAGATCACTCAGCCGTTGCTTGAGCGCTCTTTTGCTTTAACTGCGCGCTTTTCCATACTGATTATTAGTCAGCATCTGGGATGCCCTATCTGGCGGAACCATGTAGGGATGGCCCTTAAGTGAGCATTCCAGTTCGCACGATTTCGGAGACACTGCGACAAGTTCACCGCGCTCCTTTTCAGAAACCTACCGGGTCAAGGACAGCTCCAGAGTTGAACAATCCTATGCTGCGACGGCCAACCTGGCCGGCGAGGGCAGCTAGAGTAGCAAGTGAAAGCTGAGATGCCCCACCAGCCTGCTCCACGGACCCTCTCAGCAGGACCTTAAAGCCTTGGAAGGCCTGCCCGGGCAACGAAAGCAGTGGCGGCTGGTCATTCCCCTCCGACTCGCAAGGAACCCAACCCGGACTGCCCCACCTCCTCCGCGCCGAGGGGAATGTGCCAAGAAGAGGTAGGCGGTTCATTGGTCGTCTCTGGCGACCAGGCATAGACCTCAGCAGAACATCAATTGGTTAAAGTTGCTAATTTCATTACAATGCAAACATAAACTCTTGAAGGGAACTAAATCTATAAAATTGGTAATGTAAGGAACGAGATTAGTATAAGCATCGGGCGCGGGTGTTAAGTTACCCATTACACGATTAATTGAATTTAGGTTATTAACATCAACATCGTCTAAAAACGAACCGACAAGCGGCGCAACTTCGCCATCCGTTAAGACAAGGAATATAACCTCAGAATAATTAACCGCTATTCTAATTTTGTTAGTTGTTGCGTTATACCTTACTGTGTATGTATTAGGTCTGTCGCCCGTATCAAAATAGTTATTTAATTGTGTTTCTAATTCGGTTGTTAATTCGGAAGCGGTATAATTACCTTCGGGAATTGGTATTTTCCGATAAATCGCACCAGACGGAAGGGCAGGCGGTAATACTTGATGTCTGAAATATAAACTATTGTTTGTGTTGTTCATTGAATACCACGAATGCGGAATACTTACCTCATGTATTTGGCATAACACATTATCTTCTAATTGAGCCGTTTCGGGTAAGTCAATAGTAAAATCGGATTAACTTTTGGTCTGCAGTCAGCTTCATCCCGTGCGGGCCTCATCTCCGGCGACCTCGGGGCCAATGTACCAACCTGTCCGTGAGAGTCACCCTTGCACATCCGGACGATGCAAAACTACGCCGAAAGGATGCAAGAACAGTGTCCTGCACCCAAAACATCGGCCAGAGGAAGGCCTTGGTTCTCTTCTCCCAGGGAATCGTCGAAGTAATAGATGGACATGGAGCCGGACCTGACTCATCGAGCACGCACACGAATGACATAAGCTGAGTTACAATGCCTGCTATTCCAGACCATCCCTGATTACCCCGTTCAAGTTGCTATCCATCGCTACCCGGATACTAATTACCCGTTGCCCACGTCAATCCTGATGCCTTGAACCCCATTCGATGTACCTCAAGTTTTCCCTCCCGCCAACAATAGTGCAGCCAAGGCGCGCCCCGAGCAAACGCTGGTATGTTTTGCATCCATGGTGTGCTCCACTTTCGTTGTAGTCTCCCACAAGAAGCCTCCATCTCAGGCTACATGAGCATGCGACTAGCAAGCCACATGAAGCCTGACTTGACGACAGTGCACCTGATCATCTCGGGCGTTTCCTCGCCGTCGAATGAGACAGTGCAGAGCTGGACCTGGCACAGCATCTATGGGGCTTGCTGGTACCGGGCATGCCAGCATAGCACTTGCGTGACAACTTCTACCCGCAGCCGCATCAGGCCTCTTCTGCACCCTCGCTGCTGAGGATCTCCTGATTTCAGGACTCCGGTGCACCGCGAAAGTTGCACCATCCCCTAGACCCTGTAGTGACGTATGCCAACACATCTTCACAGCTACTGCCCGCGGGTCTAGATTTGGCGCAGGCTCACAGCAGGAAAAGTCGAGTCGAAGAGAGTAAGAGTTAAGTTAAGCGAGCGCGGGAGCGAGAAAAACGTGAGAGTGCGTGTACCCCAGTTTCGCCAAAGCGCCCCGACGGAATGTAGCTTCGCATATCGAAGCCGGACAAGTCCATGCTCTGAAGAAGAGTGTATGTATGTATATATATATATAAATATGTATGTATGTGTGTGATATATGACATTGATATTTACGCCGTTTCCTTGCCATGCAACACGTTTTGCAGAGCAGCTGCCACTACACACACTGCCGGCAGCTCCTAGCTTTCCGGCACCTGCGGCGCAAAGCAGCGAAGCTGAGCGAGGCACCACATCCGCCGCTTTTCGCACCGGCTCAAAGGGCTCCAATCCAGGCGCTCCTCTGCAATGAAGGCTCTCGATTCAGAATCACTGGCAACGGCTAATGCTAAGCAGGACTTACACGCATGTTTCCAAACAGTCGCTGACTCCCTGAAACCAGGTGCCTCGGATAGCAGCAGACGGCTCCGTTTCCTTCCAGAAGTCACTAGTGGACAGCATGTGCGCGCAGAATCATGCAATCCTGATACATCGGTAGAAGGGTTGCGGATCGTACATTGCACAAAGACGGCTCGACAAAATGCAACTCCTTCCAAGAAAGAGTTGAAAGGAGACTTGCCTCGAGACTTATCCTACATCCTTTTAGCAACCAGGGCTGGCAAGCGAAGGCCAGTCGGCCTAAAAGAACAATCACTGCATCTTGGCGGGAACCCTGCCCTCAATGCCACCACTGACTCACGCCCCGAAGCAGAGGCTAAATGCCGAAAATCGAATGGTTTGTTCTTGAGGCAACCAGCAAGAGGCCATTGAAAAGCCCTGGGGAAGACCCGGCTCCAGTGTGAGTGCTCCAGTATACCTGCTACCTCTGCTCACCATGACACGAAGAGACTTAGAGTTGGGGCTCCCATCCCAAGGCAGATTGGGACATCATCGCCAGCAATCAAAGCGGGATCGTAGGCTCGCGAGCTACTGTCTGGCGCTGTATGGGCAAGGTTCTATCAGATTTTGTGGATCCAGGTGCCAGTGTGGAAGGCGAGCTGTGCTCTAAAGCTTACAATGGACATGTTGCGATGGCTCCTGTTTACAAGAAGCCTCCAACTAACAAAGATGACACTTCAGAGACAGCCTCACTGAGATGCAGCTTTCATTTTTCGCGTGCGACTTCTACCGGCCATTAGTAACGGGAAGAGTGGAGGAGAGTGGACTTACCTGGCATGGCTTCGGCAGAGACGCGTGAACACGTGATGAGAAAGTGTATTCGACAAAGAAGCAGTGTACGCCACTCACAAAGGACTTCCACTCTTCCCGCCTCGAGCACTCGCCCGAAGAACCTTGAGCGCTATGTTCACTCTCTGATGGCTCGAGCGAGATCTTTTGCTCGCCTTTGCTCGATGCTGGCCAGGTGCTGTATAACACTGCCATGCTACATCCTCCTATCACCTTGAATCGCAGCTGGAGGGAGCGAAAGAAACAGAGCGAGCGAGCAAGAGAGAGGGAGAGAGGAAGCGAGAGAGGCGGATGTACAGGAAAACAACAAAATGAAGACCGAGTGTTCTCTTAGAGTTGACACCAAATGACCAACACCAACAGTTCTAACCCAAAGATGCAACCGACTTCCCCTTTCCATATGTCTTGAAACCCGCTTGTGCTCAGGCCTTGCCCAGCCCGATCGGAGCCATGAGAGATTGCTCTTTTGGTATTGGTCATGCTGAGCATCTTAGATCTCTTTGGATTTGGGTCGGGAAAGCGGCCGGGAAAACGATACATAGCTAACCTTGCTTACACCCTGATATGTAAACTAGCAGCCGCGAGTCAGCTGAGCATGACTCCGATTTTCTTCTCATCAGATTGCACCCGAAGGATAAAGAGCTCTGGGGTCAGAACTCTGTGAACGATTCATAAGCACAAGCTCGCTGATCCTATCAATCGGCGCGAGAAGCACTTCTCCTTTCTTGCATCTCGCATGTGCACTACGATTCCCTAGTTCCGAGACGACTCACAGGAAACTAAAAGCGCAGCTCACATAAGGCATAAGTCAAACGCGGCAACCGAAAGATGAAATGCAGCTCTGTCCGTGTTCTGGTGGCCAGAGAACTTGGCTCCGAAGGGAGAAAAGCTTCGTGAGCCGAGACTACCGCATTCATCCCAAGGCTGGCAGAAGCGAAAGACCTGCGACTACTACAGGTTCCTATGCCAAAACTTGGCTATAGTTTGCGCTGGGTTCAATGCGCAAGGCAGTGATACTTTGAGCCTGTTACCAAAATTCCATGATCTTTCTTGAGGCTCGTGTTGTAGACCCGGCTTCCGCTAGACCTGGGTGGATTGAGATCAAGCCTAGGGTCGGCACGTGGCGGCAGCAGCTGATATGCAGCATTCGCCATGACACAGGCGGGCCAAACAGTCGTGGCGATCATATTCATCACTGATGTCACTATGGTTCTAGTTGACGTAGCTGCCAATGGAAACTCCTGGTGTTGAGGTTCTTCAGTTCATGGAAGTGGCTCGCCATGGTGTCATCCCAGCCGGCCTACCCTGTCCGGGCTTTTTCACAACGGGCCTCTCACCCGTGCAGCAGCTGGAAGCGACTTACTGCCGATCGCGATGCTAACACAAGGGTGTGCCACTGTGCCATGGGATTCAAGCCTGCCTCAACCCGAATAAACGCTCGACGATGCTCGACGACCAACAGCCCGTTTGATCTGTGAAACCCCCAACCTTCACCAAAGAATGTCAACCACATCAGCGAGCTTACGTCTTCTCCTGACATCTGCTACAAGCTTCACCTGCACTCACATCCAGCTTTCATGTGTCTGGCCGGCGGCTTGTGCTTGCCCACTTGCACTTGGGCCGCTCATGGCCTCCAGCGCCTGATGGCTGCAGGTAGTGAATTCAACACCTGATACAGCTGTGAGCATGAGGTGCGGCTGAGCCCAAGCCTTCACTAAGGATGACCCGTCCGGTATCGTCCTGGCTGATCTACGTTTCAATGCGAAGGCACATTAAGTCTCAGCATCCGCCCCTGCTCCATGGATGCGACATCATCGGTGTCCGAGGGCGGAGGAGACCGGGTCTCGTGAGTATCTGTGTTTAGGCACCTGCTCAGTATGTGCATGGCTGTGCCATGTATGTGGACACATACAAATGCATGTTTGTGCGTGTGTGTGCCCGCGCTCGTGCGTGCAGGTGCGGGTGTGTGTGTGTGTGTGTGGGTGCGTGTGCAGGTGCGTGCGTGTGTGGGTGCGTGTGCGGGTGCGTGCGGGTGTGTGTGTGTGTGTGTGTGTACATGTGTGCGTGTGTGTGTGTGTGTGTGTTTGTGTGTTTTTGTGCGTATATGTTTGTGTCTCTGTGTGTGTGTGTGTATGTATATATATATATGCACAAACACACAGGAAAAAAAGGAGAGAGAGAGAGAGAGGCAACCCACAGGCACTCACGCGCACACACACACGCAAGCAGATCCGGCTCGTGACAATTAACCGACGTCTCTATGTAACGCTGTAACCATCTGGTCGATGTCCTTCTGCGCTTTATGTTCTTTTGAAATCAACCTACGACTCAGACAAGCTTTGGACTCTTCGGGTAAAGAATCTTTGGAGATTCTTTACATCAGATTCCATGTCCGTCCTTCGGAACAATACCTTTACATAGAGTCCTGGAGAACTCCTGTATTCTAACTTCAACATTGTGGAAATCGGGACTGCGACGGGGTTGTCTCCTCCATCCATCGGCTTGAGAAATCAGGCATCCCATTGTACAAAAAGCTTGCAGGACACGCGCGAAGTCGAACATGACTGTGAGACCCTCTACGTTTTCGACTCTTACAACTCAGGAAAAGGCAGGCAAGGCTCCACAGAGCACCGATCGACAATCTGAGCAACAGCTCGGCGCAAACAGGCGAGTCCTACCGCAACCAATCGGACCCTCTGCATTTAAGGAGCCTGGTTGGAGATGTAACATAGCAAGCAAACCTAACGAAGCCTACCTGTGCTTGCATGACAAATAACAGGAAAATGACAATCCACATCTACCTGGAACATGATGGTCTAAGTCCGGCGCTGATCAGCACAGGGGCTGTCTGAAAGAGGTTTTGTTTTGGGGGCACTGAGCAGTTTACGCGAGTCCATATGTCACTTTGGAGAAGCGAATTCTAGCCTGTCTCTTCTGTCTCCCCGATAATGGCTTGATGATATCGGATGAAAGCTCACAAAGAAGCCTACCAGCTACTGTTAGAGCAACAGTAGCAATTCTCCACAATAACTCTAACTCGAGAATATGCGATATCGCCCAAGGCTACCGGCAGACAGATACCCTCGGGAGACGAAGAGGTGCCTCGCTGGCGATCCCCAAAACTTTGGCACAGGCTTCCAAATTCAAAGAGTCACGGCCATGTTGCAGCGGCGGTCAGGATGAGAAATGCAACGTCGCCAGTGGCAGATTACATGTTTGGACTGCCAGATGTAGTCCAAAACGCACTAACATGAATGCGAGCAGCTGCTCTTGCAGTGTGCACCACCATGTATGAGCACTCTGGTTGTTGCACTCTCTTTCGTTCCTTCTCGGTCGAACTCGTTTTCAACCAAGTCAGACATTCATTGGGCTCGAGACGCTTGGGCATTTGCGGCCCAGCCACAGCATGCAGCATCTGACTGTTGCAGCTGGCACATACATTCCAAGCTGGTTGATGCTATTGCTTTCGTGCTTGATGTCCCACAACGCAATCCGTCACAGTCGTAGTGCTTGATCTTTACTTATGCTCTCACAACTCGGACTAGCCATGCGAGATCTCTTGGTGCGCGGGTCGAAGTTACTTCATCTTTATTTAGGGCAGCAGATTTTCTCCTGTTACTTGGTTCTGCCCTGCAGCCCGCATAGTTTGGCATTCTGCAGAAGAAATAACATGCTAATGATACAGTATGCCATAGTGTCACGGCTGCTTCACGTCGCCATCACTGGACACGAACTACAGGAAGCAAGCTTATGTGACCCCCTCAAGCTACCGGGGAGTTTCTCGAGCCATTCCCAGGAAGACGTGTGCCTGCATGCAGCGGCATGGTGCCTTTTAAAGTTTCCATTGACGAATACGCTGGACTGCATGGAAGGAATGGAAAAAGCCTAACTATCTGATGGGCTGCCACTTCTAACTAAGCCCTGAAAGTGTGCTAGGCTTCTCATAAATGGATCAAGGTCCGGGTTGCGCGGACTAGCTCGAGGCTTTGATTGATCGATTTGAAAAAGGATGAAAAAGGACACTGGGCCCTGATCGCCTGCTTAAACCCACCCCATTCGGAGGCCTAGCTCGGACCCACGGGGCAAGGTCTAACTACTCATGGCGGGATCTTCCCTGATGCCCAGCGGAAGTCTGAAACCGGCTCTTGCGCTTCAGCTTCAGTAGCTGCGGAGCATGTGGTCCTGCAAGAGTTCCCTCAATCATGTGCTGCTTCCTGACTTTGCGAAGAGATCGAGAACACCAAAGACCCTGACCCCCCAGAGGATCCAATGAG